GTGTGTGTGTGTGTGTGTGTGTGTGTGTGTGTGTGTGTGTGTGTGTGAGAGAGAGTGTGTGTGTGTGTCTGTGAGTGTGAGAGTGTGTGTGTATGTGTTTGTGTGTGTCTGTGAGTGTGTGTGTGTGTCTGTGAGTGTGTGAGAGAGTGTGTGTGTGTGTGTGTTTGTGTGTGTCTGTGAGTGTGAGAGAGAGTGTGTGTGTGTGTGAGAGAGAGTGTGTGTGTGTGTTTGTGTGTGTGTGAGAGAGTGTCTGTGTGTGTGTGTGTGAGTGTATGAGAGAGAGAGAGAGAGTGTGTGTGTGTGTGTGTGTGTGTGTGTGTGGAGATGGGCTGTGAGCTCTTCCAAAGATACTGGCTCTTCATTCACCAGGCCTTGGTCAACACTCCAACTCTAGGTGCAGCTCTCCCTCCATCTGTGTGGTTTTTCCTTGTGCATATAGCAGCAGATTGATCTCCACGCAGAGTGTGGTGCGTGTATGGAATGAGCTGCTGGAGGAAGTGGTGGAGGCTGGTACAATTACAACATTTAAAAAGGATTTGGACAGGTACATGGATAGGAAAGGTTTTGAGGGATATGGGCCAAACGCAGGCAAATGGGACAAAGGCCCTTTGACTTTTTGACCCTCAAGTCAAGAAGCCCCACTAACGACCCATTGCAGGCCTGGCCTCCCAGTTAAAGAAACCGAGCACAAAGCATCAGTGTTAGACTGGAACTGGAGGTAGAAGAAGGCAAAAGGGGTTACAAGTTCCCTCACCGCTGCCATTTTCCTCCGTAGCTGGAGTTTGGCTTCAACTGCTGTCTGTCTTTCCTTTTTTTTTAAAGCACCTTTTTTAATTAAATCATCTAAATCCCAGGAAGGCCTGGGAATTTTATTGCCTATGGCACTCCTTGGTGTGATTTGATTGTTCTACCAAGCAAGCAAACCTCAGGCTGAATGTAGCAGTTGATTTTGGTGGGGGATGGGCTGTTGTTAGTTCCTTTCATCTGCCTTTTTCAATTTGGCGTCTGGATGGTACAGAGAAGGTGTCAGTGGTTTGAGTTTGTCAGCCGGGACAGTTAATAAGCAGGTGGTTACACTGAAGGTGATGAGATCTTATGCTGTATTTGCCACACTCACTTCCCTGCTCACGGTTCGTTATCGCAAAGCAATTTTGGAGCCAAGGTTAATCACATAGAGACTGTGGCAGGAGATCTAGTCTGGTACATTGTATTGAAAGGATAACATTGTATTTAACGTTAATTGGACAGGAGGCAACAGACACATAAACACAAACACCCCAGCGTGCATTCCAGATTTCAGTTGTTTTTTTTAACCCAAAAACAATATGTGAGAGGATGGGCATAAATTGCATTTTAATCATGATTTGTTTCACCACAGTGGCGATGAGGGAAGTAGAGACATGGCCCACCCAGACTGGTTTCAGATTCGGTTAACCACGGCCTTTTCCAACTAATGTACAGATGGCACATCAGAGGAGGCTGGTGCATTGCTGGAGTAAGCTGCCTCTTGTCCAGCAGTTTATGAACCCTCCCGTGCCCACAGACTAATTGCTTTCCGTTCACCAACCCCAACAACTTAGCCTTGCCAGTGAGAGGGTGGTGACGGGGTGGGGGGAGAGGGGTGCACTGTGGTAGCGGGGAAAGGCAGAATCTTAAACGTCGTCTCAGAGGGGCAGTTAGGTTCAGGGGATGACAGTGGTTCGCCAGGGCACAGGGAATGGGCGGGAGGACATTGGAAGTTGGTAGACATTTCGCATTACGTCGAAATCGACTTCACTCAGAAGCAAAATTAAAATAGCCCACATGCGCGATTTGAAACACAAGAGCATTAGTGTCTCAATTCAGCTCAGACCTTCCGATTAATCTGCCCTTGTTTTTTGTTTTTGTTGTTTGAGGTATTATGTTGAAAGAATTGAATCTACTGCTATCTGGTACTGTATAACACAGCATTTTAACTCCTCGATACTATATAAAGAGAATCTGTAAACCTCGTGCAACTGGTTTCATCCATTTAGCTAATGTTTCTAAAGTTAATGTTGACTTAATGTTTTAACGTTTAAGGTTGAGGTTGATACTCAGTGGTTGGGAACCAGGGGAATGCAAGTGGCACCAATGCAGATGGAATTGCTGCGCTGATGGTGCCTTTCGCTACGACCCCTGTGGTTCTCTCGTTAAGCTCTTGTATCTGCATCGAAGTATTTGAATGTAGCCATGTATTCCTGCAAGCTTCACTTTAACCTGGGCTGACACTGCTCACCTCCTCAATACTGAGGCATATTTTTAACGCAAATGCTTACTTTTCCCTGTAAAGTTTTCCAAACACCAGTTTTTTTTTGGATTGTTCTGCTGAGATTTTTCTTTTGGGGTTTATAAATTTAATAAAAAATGCTGGAACAATTTGAGTCTCAGTGTCTTGTTTTCCAAGTTCGCATGCAACGTACAGTTGAACACATAAGTCTCCCACGGTCTAGATTAATGTGTAGGCTAGATTTCCATCCCTGAAGGGCATTAATGAACCAGATGGGTATTTCTTTTTTTTTTCCTTTATTCATAGGATGAGGGCATCGCTGGCTAGGCAGCATTCATTGCCCATCCTTAATTGCCCAGAGGGCAGTGAAGAGTCAACCACATTGCTGTCAGTCTGGAGTCACATGTAGGCCAGACCAGGTGAGGATGGCAGTTTCCTTCCCTAAAGGGCATGAGTGAACCAGGTGGGTTTTTCCCGACAATCGGCACTGGGTCATCATTAGATTCTTAATTCCAGATTTTTATTGAATTCAAATTCCACTATCTGCCGTGACAGGATTTGAACCCAGGTCCCCAGAACATTATCTGAGTCTCTGGATTAACAGTCCAGCAATAATACCACTAGGCCATCGCATCCCCAACAACCAGCAATGATTAACACTGAGCCAGTTCTTTATTCTAGAGTTAACTGAATTTAAATTTCACCATCTGCCAAAGTGGGATTCAAGCCCACATCCCCCAGAATGTTAGCCTGAGCTTCAGATTACCAGCCCTGTGACATGACCACTGTCTCATGCTCCCTGCAAGATACAGATTTTAACTCCTTTTACTGCATTATCAACCAAGGAAGATGAACAAGTCGAGGCAGAAGGTGTTCACAGATCTCCTTAAGTCACAGAAGGTCTCGTGCTTTGAGGGGTGTATTTGGGGGAGAGGTCTGGAAAATTCTCAGGAAAATAAATGAAAGCAACTTCTGGCTCAGCCTCAATCACAATCAGGGTCAAGGGGTCGACTGGTCTTCTAAAATGGAAGGCATAGGTTTAAGGTGAGAGGTGAAAGATTTAAAAGGGACCTAAGGGCCAACTTTTTCACACAGAGGTTGGTGCGTGTATGGAATGAGCTGCCAGAGGAAGTCGTGGAGGCTGGTACAATTACAACATTTAAAAGGCATCTGGATGGGTATATGATTAGGAAGGGTTTAGAAGGATAAGGGCCAAATGCTGGCAAATGGGACTAGGTTAATTTAGGATGTCTGGTCGACGCTGACTCTATGATCCTACTGCTCCTAGTTTCACTGTCTCCCAGGATTTTATTTTGTGAGGTTAGAGTTAGGGACAGGCTCTATGAAAGTGTGCCTCGGGACAGGATCACAGCCCAATAAGGGGAAGGTAATTCGACAGATACCATTGCTGCTCAGCTACTTGTTCTACACTTCAGGGAGTACTCTGAACGGAGTCCCTACTGCTTCATCTCCCTAAATAAGGATGAATATCTTGCAGTTACCTAGTGCTTGTCACAATCTTAGGAGGTCTCTTGCTCCCGAAATAATATTGTATCCTTTAAAAACAAAATTTGTAAAATTACATTCCATAACATTCTGGAAAGTGACATATCGGTGAATTGAGCGGCGATGTTACTGGAATAGTAATCTAGAGACCCAGGTCAATGTCGTATGAACATAGGTTCAAATCCCACCATGGCAGATGGTAAAATTCACATTCAATTAAAATCTGGAATTAAAAGCTAGGCTCAGTGATGATGACCATATAATCATTATTAATTGTTGCACAAACCCATCTCATTCACTGTTGTCCTTTAGGGAGGGAAATCTGCCATCCTTACTCGGTCAGGCCTACACATGACTCCAGACCCACAGCAATGTGGTTGACTCTTCATTCTCTTCTGAAACAGGCCAGTACCTCAGTTCAAAGGCAATGAGAAATGGGGAACTAATGCAGGGTTGCCATAAGATCAGAATTAGGCCTACTGGTCCATTTGATCATGGCTGATATGTTTCTCAACCCCATTCTCCTGCCTTCTCCCTGTAACCCTTGATCCCCTTACCATTCAAGAATCTATCTATCTCAGTCTTAAAATACACTCAACATCTTGGCGTCCACAGCCCTCTGCGGTAATGAGTTCCACAGATTCACCAC